AGTTCGTTGCCAACCTTTACAGATGCACTATAAATGGAACTTGCTATGGAACTGTTATTGCCGATCATTAAACATGATTTTGGTTTTGTTGTAGTTAACCATAAGGCCGAATTTAACACTTTGTACTTCGAGATTTTTAATTTACTTTTTTGATTTAATATAAGTTAGTGATTTCTTCTGGAGTAGAGGCTAGAAGTGTAGCGTCATCTGCGAAATCATCAAAAATTTTGCGTATAAAGTATAAAAAGGATGATAAAATACATCCGTGGCGTACTTCGTTCTCCAAAGTACATTCGTCAGATAGGCCTCCGTTCATTTGAATACATGCCCTTGATATAGTTTATAATAATAAATATTAATATAATATATAATAAAGCTCCAGGAATCGATTAAATTTGTTAAAAAATGTATAAAAAAGGTGGTGATCAACTTTTTGCATCAATTCATAAACTAATAGTACTTATATGGCAGAATGAATTGGTACCAAAAGGGTAACTAAAGGGAATAATATGTCCATTGCATAAAATGGGTGATCAACTAGAGTTTAAGAGCTATAGAGGCATTACTCTGTTAGCATATGCGTAGAAAATCTTCGGCAATGTATTGTTTGAAAGACTTAAACATTTTACAAAGGATATTATTGGTCAATATCAATGCGGATCTAGTGTTGGAATGTCAACTACACATTAAATTTAAGCACATAGGCAGGTTCTAGAAAACTCACTAAACTATAACATAGATACACACAATCTCTTCGTTGACTTCAAAGCAACCTACGACAGTGTGAAAAGAACTGCATTATATAATGCAATGATAGATTTTGGGATCCCACCTAAGTTAGTTAAGTTGAACCGACTAACAATGCAAAACGTAAGCTTATGCGTTAGAATTAAAGGAGAAAACGTTATTTGACATTGATAATAGTCTAAGACAGGGAGGGGGGAAGTATAAGGGAGATGGTGCAGTATTTTACAAGGCTTGCGGATGCTGCAAGTGAATTAGGACTTGTGGTAAACGAGGAAAAAACCAAATATATGTTGGTTTCTAAAAACCCCAGAAATATCCAATAGAGAATTAAAATTACCAACCATACAAAGAATTTACAGCTGGGCTGAAACGTGTACCTTATCTTAAAATAAAATCCACAAGGAAAAATTCCTGTAGCTGGCTGTATACCACGTATAACAAAAAGAGGTTAATCTTTGTAAATGGGTATATTTATTTAAAAAACCCTTAAAAGGGCCACATCAATAAAACAAACGTTTTCGGACCACACAGTCCATCATCAGGTTATTAAAATCGAAAATGCTAGGTCACAATGCCTGAGCCACCAAAATATTAGGGTAAAAACCCTTTAAATTACATTTAGTTATGAAATATTGTACATTGTGTTATAAAATAACTGTGATGTTCAGTATTAAATTAAATATGACTGTAGGTAACACATGGTTCAATTGGGTTCCAGAGCCGGTGAGAGGAAACCTCTGCACTCGGAGAACAACGTGGAACTCTTCAGTTCAGTTCAGTTCAGTAAAAAAATTACAATTTTCAAAACCAGAGGGCACAAGAAGTAGAGGATGACCACGAAGAAGATGGATTGATGATGTGGAAAAAGACCTGCAGATTCTATTGGTCAGAAGATGTGGGGAAGTTGCCAGGAATCGACAAAAGTGGCGACTTCTCTGTAAGCAGGCCAAGATCCACAACGGATTGTCGACTACTTATGATGACGATGAACTTGATGTAGTTTCTGCAGATATATGCAGATAGAAAGTGAACTACCAGTATAAAAGAAGGTTATTATTATATTTTTAATTTCACCAAATATTTGTAATCAATAAAAGCAAAGTCAAACACGTAATGAAACTTCTTGTTGACTGTTAGAAAATGTTAAAATTTTAATTGGAATCCTTCATAAAATTAAATAATTCCTCGAACATTCTACTCAATGTCTTCGTATCTTCAGGCTTAACTTAGCAGTCAATTATACTATGCTTAAACTGTATATTTTTATACTGCTTAAGGTCTCCATAACTAATTATATTTTTATACCAAAACTGTTTTACGAACTAATTACATCACACTTTTTCGGTTACCATTAATAAAGATAGGAATCTCTTCTGTCTAACTTCAGTTAACATTTACGGAATAATATATGGAAATATATTTAAAATTTTAAGTCAACGTGTAATGTGCTTGAGGATTATGCATCACTATCATATCAATAAATCAAGATGATTATCAAACCCGCCATTCAAATTTTGTTACCAGTATTTTTAATTTACCAACCAACGCTTGACTTGGCTCTCTCAGTGGGCTAATTAGACTTTATACATACATAGATATCATATTACAAAACGGTATTAACACTTCTTTTTAGATGTTATAGGACGTCTTTGCATAATTAATCGTTAATATGTTCTCTTTTTGTACTGTTATTTTAAATCGTGAAATAAAAAAAAATTATTTTCAGTTCATAGGTGCCATAAAAACAATCAAATTCTTCTTCTTCTTGTAGTACCTATCACTCTGATAGCGTAATTTTTTTTACTGTACCCTTCAATGACACTATAAACAAGTTCCACTATATAAAGTTTTTAATTAAGGCCAGAAACAAGTGGTTTATTTCCAAAATACAAAATATTTAGCATAGGATTTTTCTTCATAAAACCAGAATATTTAGTTTTATTCGATATTTCTTTAGACGCCTTATATAATTTATTTTATATAAATTCCTTAAAATTTGTTCTTCTTTTATTATTAATGATACTTGACATCAGGACATTTTATTTAATAGATTTTTATTCATCATCATACTGTTTGATAACATTAATTTTAATATACTCTAATATATCAACATTACTAATTTTTTGGTTGTATATAAATTATAAATATTGCCCAAGAGAGTAGACTCGAACGACTTTGTTGTTGACAGGTCGCTTTTAAAAGACTATAAAATCTATAAATTTTCTTTTATGTGATACAGGGGAACGAAAAATTAAATAAAATTATAGCTAACATATCGTTCATATATATTTTTATTTCAATTTTATTTTATACACATTTGTGACAGTGTTAAAAACTAAAATTGACTCGTTTTCATCTACTGATATGAATAAGGAACACCCTTCTATCACGACTTCCATTTAGCAGGAGGCGTTTCTTAGACTCACTAACCTCGGCTTTATTTATTTGTTATTTTAAGTGCAACTATCTAGTGAGAATGTCAGGAACGAAGTGTGTGCATTTTCACCTTGTTAAAGAAGTGAACGAATACTTCAAATAATTTCTATCGGTATAGATAGAACTCTTCCAACTAATTACTTGTTTTAAAAATGTTAAAATGTTAATCACTGGACGTTTAGAAATGATCTCTGAGTTGTTATCTTGTAAATTTAAATTAAAAGAAGACACAAACCCAAACTCAAATAGCATATCAATGGAATTTGTTAGAGAAGTATATAAAGAAAATTTTACGAGTTACCCTTCCAAAGAAGATGACTTGGTGTATTGTAATGATATTGCAAGGCTTTTCCAAGAACTAAATGGTTTCTATGAACTAACTTTCGCCAATGAAAAGTGGATACTTTTTATTGATGCTTTTATTAGATTAGTTCGAAAGCCATCTTACTTCACTATAGTAATCAATACCCTCGTGCATGTAACAAATATAAAGGACTTATATGAATTTGGAGGTACTACATGAGCAAATAAAATATGTTTAATACCTGATCTGAAAGTCGTAGCTATACTTACTCGCTTATAGAGAAGATACTCTAAGTGTTGCTGTACTGAAGTGAGTACTGAAAAATTGGCCAAAAAGCAAAAAGTTTAACACCTGGAGATAAAAATGTATCTCAAAAACTTATAGTGCGACAAGACTAGAAGCTTTCTTGCCACTACTTCGAATAACGGTGGGAGTCATTAAAAATTTCGTAAAAGCTATGAACGAAAATGTTAAAGGATTTTAGTACCTTAAAACTAAACTCTGAATAAGTGACACTAAGGTGAAAGAAGGAATTTTTATTGGTCTGTAAACACGGGTGCTTATGACAGATGTAACTTTTAAATTGACAATAAACAGAGCAGATGAAAGAGCTTGTGCAGCACTAATTGAAGTGTGTCCTAATTTCCTGGGCAATATAAAAACTGACAACTACCGAGAAATCATTTTAAAGCACTTTTTTATATATATATATAACATATAACAAGCGAGTCTTCTACAGCTGGCGCCGCTTCTCGCATCCTAATTTCCAGCGTTTTCTGTCGAAGCAATCTTCAGTTGTTAGATCTCTGGCGGTCATTGCATCGTCGACATCGTCTCTCCAGGATCGTCTTGGTCTACCTCGTTTTCTTCTAGTTGGCGGAGTCCATTCTTCTATTTTTTTCGGCCATCTATTTTACGGCATTCTCTGAAGGTGTCCATACCAGTTAAGTCTTTTGACTTTTTTTATGTTTCTAAAAATATCTAGAATGAAACACATTACTTAAGATTCATTTTTTAGATTCGTACTTAATTTTTTTTGCTGAAAATCTGGGTACCGTATGAGTTGAGCGAGCAAGGAACAGGGTTAAAGGATTCACCAGGATATAATGCACAGTGGAAGTGGCTACAATGGAAAATAACACATTTAATATGTACAAAAAGGTGTAAGAAATAACTGGAACATATAGATCAACTTCCAGTAGTTTACTTGATAAATAAGGAAATTTTATAGTCAATGAACAAGACAGATTAGAGAGGTGGAAAAAACATATTGAGGAGCTGTTTAATGATGACAGAACAGAAATTCAAATCGAAAATATATCGACTGATCCAAACATAACACTCGATGAAATAGAAAGAGCTATAAAGCTATCAAAGAATAGGAAAGCAACTGGTCTAGATGAAATTACAAGTGAAATAATCAAACTATTAAAGACATTCTCTTCTAAGCCTCTTCAATAAAATATAAGAAACGGAACATATACCAGCAGACTGGCTATTTTTAACATTTGTTATGATCCCGGAAAAAATAAATGCCAAACAGTGTAGCGATCATCGCACTATCAATATGATGAATCATGTACTGAAAAATTTTCTAAGAATACTGCACTTAAGAAATTACAACAAAATAGAAGTACAACTAAGTAAAACACAATTTGGTTTCAGAAACAACCTTGGAACCAGAGAAGCATTTTTCAGTTTGCAGGTCATGGTTCAAAGATGTAGGGGTATCGAACCATCGCTATATATGTGTTTTATCGACTTAGAAAAGACCTTTAACCGAGTAAACCATGAATAATTTATAGGTGTCTTGCAACAGGTGAAAATTAATGGCTGAAACCTTCGTATTATCAAAAATTTGTATTGGCATTAATGTGCAAAGATACGAATTGGACACAGCACGACGAAAGTAGTTCAAATACGACGTGAAGTGAGGCAAGGATGTATTCTATCGCTTCTACTTTTTAGTGTCTACTCCGAATTTATTTTCAAATAAGGCTTAGTTGAAGATACAGGCATTAAAATCAACGAAATTAATGTCAACGATCTCAGATATGCAGAGGACACGGTACTTATTGCATCCAATGAAGAAGACCTGCAACGACTTATAAACAGGATAACCGAAGCATGTGATGAATATGGGCTAAAATTTAATACTTCTAAGACAAAACTTCTGGTTGTCAGCAAAACGAAGATATAACCAACATCAGAGCGTATGAAATAGAGTTGGAAATAATCCACAATATTAGCTATTTGGGCGCAAACGTTAACGATAACTTGGATATAAACAAAAATAAGAATACGCATTGAAAACGCCAGAGCCACCTTCTATAAATTAAAGAAACTTCTAATTACTAGAGATATTACGGTAAACCTTAACGTATTATTAATATTAAAATCTCCCAAAACTATTACTTTTAAATTTGGCCTCATAATGGAATCTAATAAATTTTCGAAATTTGTAAAAAATACTTAAAATCATTACATTTACTCAATCTATATACTCCCAATACAACCGTGTTAATATCTTATAGAACAATTCCACAAAATTCAGATGTTTGTTCTATATTAAATTCATCACAGTTAATAGTTTCGAGTTTCAAAGTACTTTTAACATATATTACAGTACCACCAATCTTTTTTTACAGAAACTGCTAGCAAGTAAATACTCATCGATGTTTATGTATCGGAGATCTGCTTCACTCTGTCAGTGCTTTGAGAACAAACAACATCGAAGGTAAATTCCAACAAAAATAAATTTATCATTTGTACTTTATTTGCTATACATTGAACATTAACATGGAACATACTCACCAGGCTTTCGCTATTCAAAATATGAATTAGTTTTTCGGGAACTTCTCAACTTCCTACTTGTTGATCTAGATTGTTTTCATTTGTGCGGACTGCTGCATTTCCACTAAACTTTTGTAAAATCTTGATATGTTTGATTACAAAGAAGTTTTCTTCCGTGTCTCTGCTGCAGGCACATCTGTAGTCAAAGGCACAGCTGTAGTCAAAGTTATGAATTGTCTGCTGGCGTTCTTTCCCGAAAATTTTTAATGAATTTGAATATTCTTATGACAGATCCACTGGGCCATATAGATGGGTTGTATCACAGCCACCTTTACTTCCAAGCCATGAAGTAGAAATTTGACAACAACGCGTGGTAGTCCGACCGTGGTTTGTTTTGTTTAACCAAAGAATTGTTTTTTTAAACTTTATTCGAATGTTTTATTTGTAAATTGTGTATAAATCAATTAGAAAATATTATTATAAGTGAAATTTTATTAACTTTAGAACTTTTAGTAGATTTTTAACGACAATTTAAAAGGCAAGTATAAATATAACCTACAAACCAAATTGAAAATAATACTTTTGCTTCTTGTTACAAAATATGTAAACTAAAAACAACAATAATAATACGTTTGTTTTTTGTTACAGATGCCCTGGCATTGTTGTGTACCTGGTAGCAAAACCAATTATGCCAGTACTTTAAAAACGAAACAACAGAAAGTACGTTTTTGTTTTCCAAAGATCCCCAAAGAAGTTATCCTGGGTTATGCTCTATTCATAGAGAAGGCTATACAATTACCAAATCTTCCGTTGTATGTGCCAAACATTTTCATGAAGATGATATTCAGCGTACTGAACAATGAGAAGATAAAGATGGAAATGTACACATTGAAAAGTTAATATTTCCCAAATTAAAAGACAACACAGTTCCTAATATATTTTCTCAAGTACCATCATATGTAACTGTTCATCGTACTAAAGAAAGAAGGAATCCCGAAGACAGAAGAAACTTTTTGCATTAGAAGAGGGAATAAGAGATAACAGAATACTTAGACAATCATTTTTAAGAGACTTAGACAATAATATCCCATTGAAAAACTGGACAAGTAAAATTACAAGTGACTGTATATATTTCTATGTATTAAACATTAATCAGTTGGGACACGAGTGTGATAATATTTGTGTAATAAGTAGTGTAATAGTTAGCAGTAATTTTAGTGTAATCGTCAATGTAGGTAAGAATGGATTTAGTAGTAATGATTTGAAATGGATTTTAAAATATAGTAAATTAACAAGATGGTCACAATTAGAAAACTTACTTTCTCGATTAAGATCTGCTTTTTAGATAAGTGATAACAAATTTGAGTATTACATTCAAAAATCTTTTGAGAATATAGGCTATTTTAAATCGATATACAAGTTATCAAAAATGGTATGTTACATTCAACACATTTTTCATGCATACCTCTTTTAACTTGGTTTATATGACAAAAAACCTATTCATATATAAAATTGCTACTTTCATATAACTAAGTATGAAAATTCAACAAAAGTTATAAGTAAATAGTAAAATATTTAATTTTCAATTAGATTAATTTAGAACCATATTTATATTGTGTCTGATTTCTTAGGATGAATTTTGTAATCATAATACTTACACTAAGTTTTTACTTAACAAATTTTATATCTTTTGTATTTTTAATAATCTTTTTAAATGTCGTGTTAATGTATTGTGTTATTTATATGCTTAAGTACTTAATATTAAAAATTTCTAGAGCTTCTTGACTGTATTTGATTGTAAGATTAACTGTTTGACACTGTATTTTAAGTGCAATAAATTTTACTCTAATGATTATTTTATTGATAATATAACCTTAATAATAATAAAATTTTATATATATTTATTAGGTATATATAGGGTTTTATTAATTTAATTTCCCTAAAAATATTTCTGTAATGAATCGAAGTGTTCAAAATAACAGTTTCCTAAAATTCAAATTAGTTCAATTTTCTGGTAGACCTTACAGCTGATTATCGGACTACCGACGTCATAGAATGCGGTGTTGCCTTTTTTACTTCATGGCTTGGAAGTAAAGGTGGCTGTGGTTGTATACATTGTCTAGACTTTCTAAAGGAAAGGACACTTTTTAAGATGATTGCTTAGAATTGATTTGTAGTTTTGCTGAAATTATTAAAAACTCTCGCCTTCCACTTCCCGATCTCAGATCGAACATATCGAACAATTTTGATTAGATTTTCTTCCTTTTACAATGGGTTTCATCGTGTTTTAATTTTTTTTTTCAAATCTAACGTAAAAGATAACATTTTAACTATATGAAACAAATAATTTTCTTTTTCGGGTCTTTTTATTCTCTTTTCTATAAAACACTTTCCAAATTTTATTGCAAAATGCTTAATTTGATAATCGCTTAGGGCAAATATATTTGCAATTATTATTCATAATTAACTTTTGAATATACCTATGTTTCTTTCATTGTTTATACGATCGGTGAGTTATTATATTCAGTGCTTTCACCCCTGATTTATAAATTACGATATCCTAATATGTACATCCACTTAACTACGTTAAAGAACAAAACCGTATGACGGTAACAACATTAACATATTTAACAAGCTGTCTTATACTTTGCCTTACTTTTTCATCGTTAAACACTAAAATTATCTATAGAAAGCAAGTACTTCAAATAGTTCTCTATCAGATCAGCCTCAATTATACCCTGACGGATTTTATCTTAAAATGTCGGCCGTTAACAGTTGTAATATCTCTCGAGAGTATTAAGCATTTTATCGCCGCTATTTCTAACGATCATGTACCATTACAAATAATTAATTATAATTATCTTTCAGTATGTTGAAGACGGTGGATGACATTTAGCTAGAGAAATTCCAGTGGCGGATGTTTCATAGATTCCAGTGAGGAACATTTTTCATGAATCTTACATATATTTTTATTTAATGACTTAAATTAAATATTGAGATAATATGCATATTTGCTTCCGAAGTGTCCTGTATTGCCTTAGTGGTTTTGACTTATACAAAAAATGAAAACGCAAAATGATCTTGTATTTCTTTATGAACTTTATTTCATTTTCTACAACGCTGTAAACCTTATGTGTTACATTAGGAGAGAAATAAAAATTGATCTAGACTTGGATACCTGCAGAGAATGCCTGAAAATAGATGGTTTAACACTAGAAAGTCGGGCTTAGCATACCCACCTAGAAAGCCCGAAGGGATCATTTTGGCCCCAAGTTCCCAAATCAATAAAAACCAAGTTTAAAATTAACTATTTATTTGGGAATAAACAAAAAATAAAAATAAACAGTTTTAAGAAATTATATACACTCTTGACGATAGAATTTGATTTAATTTTTTAGTTTAATTTTAAACATTTGGAACACCATACAGTTTGCAGTTTTTGGCATCTGCCACACATTGCCTTGTTACAGCCGTGGCACTTATTGGAAGTATGATTTCCTTTACAAAACATTTTTAACTGACATTTTTTTCTTTTTTGGCTAGTAACAGTGCTGGTGGTTGGTAAATCCGGTGGTGCTGGGTATAGTACCAGATTTCGGGAGGCAAGGTATGGAGCCCGTAATTCTTCACACAACTGAAGAATAAACTTACGACGACTGATTTTACTTCCATTAACTTCTTTATAAATAATCCAATCATTTATTGCTCCTAAGTCAAGAATGTTATAAAACACGTGCATTGGCCATAGTCTTGAAGCAACTTTTATAGTATAAAGACGCGCCATTTGGTCCACTACATCAACCCCGTATTTTGTTTTATTATAAAAACTTACTGTTTGAGGAAGTTTTTTTCCATCGACAGCAACATCCACTGATTGATGTAATGAGCTCAACAAAAGCACATTTTTGTGACTCTTTCCTTGGTATGCAGTAAGTGTTATCTTTTCGTCGCTCTGGAATATATAAGTATCATATATTTCTCCATTTTTACTCTTTACGCTTGGAGGAACTTCCTTTCTGTTGCGATTCAAAGTGCCCACAAGACTTGTTGATTTTTTTCGCAATGTCTTGGCCAATTTTAACGATGTAAAGTAGTTATCTCTCGTAACATTTTTGCCCTTTCCCAGTTGATTTTCCATTAACCGCAAAACAACATGTTCACCAACACTTATATCTTTCTTGCGTAGATGATCAGTGCCAGTATAAGGGTAACCATTTACAATATATTTTGATTGCACGCATGTCAAAAGCCAAAATTTTATACCAAACTTATTCGACTTATTTGATATGTACTGTGTGAACGGGCACCTGGCTTTAGAAGGCAGTAGTTGTTCGTCCACAGTAAGGTTTATTCCCGGTTTGTAACATGCACCACTATTTTCTATAAATCCATTCCAAACCGCAGAGGCTAGAGCAAATTTGTCGATTTTCAATCGTTCAGATCTCGTTTGCTTTATGTCAAATCTGAGATATTTTATAATATCCTTGAATCTGTCTCATGGCATAGTTTGCCTAAAAAACTGAGGACCCCATGCTGTTGACTACACGCTGTTGATTGGGAAATTTTTGGCGCCGTAGACTCCTCTTGCGTACATAATAGCAAGGGCAGCCTCCAGTTCTTCCAAAGTTATAGTCCATGTGTCATTTTTCAAACATCGATGTGCTTCTGCAGTAGTGCATTCTTTTATATGACGTAACATGCTGTCGCTGATTATTAGATGCCAAGCAGTTACCACATAATTGTTTTGCATACGACGTAGGACCTGATTCCTCTCGATAAATGTTGTGCTGAGCGCGGCGTCCTGTAATGAGCAAACATTCAATGGATATGAAGATACTAAAAATCATAATCTTACCAGGTATTGATCCAGAATCAATAACTTTCCACGTTGTTCCGTCTTTCGATTGTTCGGTGTCTCCGATTGAAATAGTTTTTCCTTGTTGACCTCTTTTCATCTTGTGACTTGGCTTAGATGCAGAGTTGTAGAAGCAGTGTTTACATAAATTGGTGAGTCTTGTACAATAAAACTTTCTAACTGATCTGAAGCATCAGAGTCACTTGAATCATTATTTTGTGGTGGTACGTATTGTTCATCGTCTGACTCATTATTTTCTGCAAATTCAGATTCACCTCCCGAAACATCCTCTTGTATTTTTCGTATTTCTTCAAGAAGTTCAAGCTCTGATAATCCACGACGAGACATCTTTACAGTCGTCTTGAATTTTCACAATTGAACGAATGTTTCAATATTCTAGAAACGAGAGTCAGCAGAACCTAATAAACCCCTCAATAAACAAAATACTTTCAAGGAACAAACAGTATGTAACAAAATACCTTCTAGGAATAAACGTACATAAACATAATTTTATCTATCCGACAGACAGTTAAAAGAAATCGTCAAATTTCCGAGAAAACGATAATAATTAATAATAATAATTAATACATGGCCAGTTTGGCCCCTTCAGACTTCTATGGTAGGTTTGTTAGAAAATCCATTTAATAAATTTAGTAAACAATATTTTTTTGCGTTAAATAAGACGTTGTATCAAAATATTAAAAGTTTGTGTCAAATAAAAGAACTACAATAACTTCAAATCTTAACAGAAATTGGCCCCTCTGACTTTCTAGTGTGTTAAACTCCCCCCCCCCTAGTGAACTCCGGTATTTAAGACAAAGATGAAAAACGCTCGGTCCCGTCAATTTTTTTTTTTAATAGAGGTATTTTAAAACTTAAAAAAAATTGTCACCCCTTTCATCCCCTTCACTTGACAGCTACCCCCTTAGATTTTTTAAATAGCAATGGGGTTCGTACGATAGTTCGTTGGAAAAGGTTTGAAAAGAAGAATTCAAAAATGTAAGTTTGAAATTTTGTATGGCCTAATGGTTTTATTTAAAATAAAATATACAAAAAATAATGTATTAAATTAGGTACATCTTTAAAATTAAAGGAACTGGCAAATTATCCTAAAGAAAACTTAAATTACTGCAGGAGATTTACTTTCTGGCAGAAGTAGATTCTTTGTTTCGTTGTCTCCCTAACCCTTTGTAGGGTCTGCATATCAATCCTTTACATTCTTCGATTATTCTTTGACGGAGTTCATCAAGCGTCGTCAATTGGCTCCCATACAGTTTGGATTTAAGAACCCCATAGGTAAAAATCTAGAGAAGTAAGATCTGGTGATCTTGGTGGCCATTCAATGAATCCACGAAGTCCAATCCATCTTCTCGGATACAAATTATTTAAAAAATTTCGAACGTGATCATCGTATCGAATTTGCCTGGATTGTTTCTAAGCACATCATTAATTGCAGGAATTATTTGTGTTTTTAAAAGATTAAGATACCT